TGAATTGCTGCCTCTCACAAAAGCAGCCCAAACCCTGAAGAGCCAGCCCACTGTGGAGCTCAGTTTTCCATGTTCCCTTTCTGCCTTCCCCAGCTGCTCTTTCCCTCTCTGGGTAAACTGATTTCTCTCAGTGTCAGTCTACCTCTCCCTCTGCTCCTTCTGAATCTTGCTCTCCTATGACAGCTGTTGCAGTCTGCTTTTCTTTCTGCCTAAATTGTTTATGTGTCTGTCACCTTCCCTGAACTGTAAGCTTTTTGCTGGAACTCATACTTCATCATACCAGTGTTCCCCCAGCACTGGCCAATACTGGCACATGAGTAATTGACTTAACATATAAGGATGAACAGAGCATGTATTTTGCAGGTAGAATTTTAAAAAGAAAAGAGATTCTTCTTAAAACCTCTAAGGACTTGGAGCAAAAATGAAAGTTTTAGCCTCAATCCTCTGGTTTTCCTGCAACAGTAGTAACTAGCATTGAGTCCAGAGTTATTCCCTGTTTGAGTTGGGAACATTAGCTTGCTGTGTAGTGGTTAGAAAAGTGTCTTTGGAGAACAAAAGGAAAAAGGACTTAGCTAATGGATCATTATCATTACTTTGTTACTTATCAGATAAACACTAATTAAAATATAAAGCATTTGTGCCTGTTTGGGAAATACCTCCCTATTTTTGGAAGAAAAAATGAATCATAAAATTGGCAAAACAACAATAAAATCATAGTACAAATCATATTAAAAGGAAAAAAGGAAAGGGGATGTGCTTTGAACCTCCACCTCCTTCACAGCTCATCATTTCTTGATGCCCTTTGCCAAGCTGTATGCTCAAGGAATCTAATGATACACAAAGCCTCATTGCCAGATACTTCATTAATTCCTCCATCCATTAGGAGCCTTAATGGCCTATGCCACTGAAATAAGTATGGAAATCCAGTCCCCCAAGAAAGTACAGTGCTCTATAAATCATACTCGCCTGAGGATTCTCTCAGCCCTTGACACAGAAGAATGAATGAGAAAACATTGTACTTCCTTTGTTCCCTTATGCTAGAGGCTCTCAGAATAATAGACCCTCTTTAACCCTTTAACCCTCCAACCCAATGATTCTCGAAGTGTGATTCCTGGATCAACAGCATCAGCACCACTGGGAACTTGTTAGAAATACAAACTCAATGGCCTCAGCCCAGACACACTGGCACCCTGATGCTGGGGTCAGCAATCTCTGTTTTAAGCAGGCCTCCCAGGGCTTCCAACTGCCCTAACACCCCTGTGGCATAGTTACATAAAATGAGCAACTATATGATTCTCCTGACAGGGAAGCAGATGGGCACATCCATAATGTCACCCAAATCTACCTTTCTGGATTTCATTTAACTCAGCCAACATTGGCTGAGCAGTTGTTATGTCCCAGGCATCCTCAGTGGGAAACTGTAAAGGTGAATGACACCTTAAAGTCACCCTCTAGTGTCACCTGTGTCAACATTTTCCTGCTGTGCTGTGTTGGTCTGTCTGGATGTCAGCGCCTCTTCCACTAGGTTCCAAAGCACCCAAAACAGTGGTTCCCAAAGCTTCCTTGTTGGGCTTCTTAGACCTCCTTCATCCAGAGACTGGCTCCTCAGCCCTTTCCCAGTGGTCATGGGCACCTCAAAGAGCGAGCTGCAGGAAGAATGGCCCTGTCTTTCTGAACCTTCCCTGCTTTGAAATGCCTGATAATCTTACTGTTCACAAGCACCCTTCTATCCCTGTCTCTCTAGAATTGGTGTCACCTCTATCTCCATTCATTTTAGGACTTGGGCAGCTACTTAGAGAGGTTCTTTCCCACGGAAGACAGATTGAGTAGTTCTAGAGGAAGATAGCGAATCTCCATCAATAAAGGGTTAACAAGAGTAAAAAACACTCAAAATTTACCACCCTCATATGGCCACTTCCCTAGTCCAAGTTCTCATTATCCTTTGCCTCAATATTTCTGTGGCTTCTTTACAGTTTCACTTCTCACCCATCTATCCTTTATCCACCTTGTTGCTAGAATGATTTTTCTTAAGTCTAATTCTATCATTTGTCTGCTTACTAACTTCAAATATGCATTCATGTCCTATGGCAGGGGTCAGCAAACCAAGGTGTGTGTTTGCTGTTGTCTGGAAAACAACAGGAAAGATCTGTTAGACCACAGCTGACCCATCGTTTGCAGGTTATCTGTGGCTGCATTTGTTCTACAGTGACAGAGCTGGGTAGTTGAAATTGGGACTGTATGCCACTCAAGCCTGAAATATTTATTATTTGGCACTTCAAGAAAAAGTTTGTTTCTCCTGGTATATAAGGTAAAGCTTAGTCTGTTTACATTTAACACACTGGGATATTTGGGTTTAGTTTACCAATTAGCTGTGTTTTTCTTTTGCTCCCACCTGTTCCTATTTCTGTTTCCTTCCTTTAATGTCATTGTCTGTATCTATTATTTTTCCTTATTCTGTTTTTTTAAAAACTGTTACTTAATTGGTGCTTCTACCCTTTTCCCAGACAATTCAAGAATGTTAGAACATTTCAAAAGCCACTTCCTTTATATGCTACAATTGTCATCTATTCAAATTCTCTTTATATTTAAAACCCAGAGGACATTTCTGTTATTGTTTGTAAAATCAGTATTCATTTAGATTTATTCACATATTTAGCATTTTGGTTGCTCTTCATTTCTTCATGTGTACTTCTGATCCTTGAATATGAAAAAGAAAAGAAAAAAATCCCTTCATGTTTGCTCTCACATTTGAATGAAAATTAGGCTGCATTTGGTCCAAATTTAATTTTTCTTCAGGAATTGGAAGACATTATTTTATTGTCCTTTAATGTTCACTGTTGCATATTAGAGATCTGATGGTAATTTTTCTTCTCTGTAAGGTTTTTGGGTTTTCTCCTTTTATTCGGGGGGATCTAAGATTTATCTAGATGATTTTTAAAAAAATTAATCCTACTTGTTGGGCCCTTTTTCAGTCTGAAAAATTTCCATGATTTTCTCTTTTTCTATTCTTATAGAGTACCTTTTAGAAAGATAATAGAACATCTGGATCTTATTTCCATACTGCTTAGCATTTGTGTCCCATTTTCCTTCTTTTTGATATTTTCTTCTATGTACAATCTCTAGACTATCTTCTAGTTGCTACTTTGATCTCCAGTGGGATACAATCCAATATTCAGCACATCTTGATTTTTTTTGACAATAATGTTTTTAATTTCCTAGAACTGACTATGTTAGTTGTCACTGTTTTATTTTTGAATTGATGAGATATATTTTGGGATCTCTCATAATGTGAACTGCACCTCTTTTAAACTCATCTTCTGTTTCTACATACCTGGCTCCTGTGATCAGGTATTCTTCTATTTATTAATTCTATTACCTCTTATTCATGACATTGTTTTCCCTCAAATGTTTGTGAGTCTTAAGGTATCTGGTTGTATTTTAATTGCATGTCTTGGGTGCCCTTCTTCTTTCCTCAGCCCAAATGAGAATCCACTTGCTTTGTTGGCACATGATGGGTTAGATCACAGGACTTGGATTCACCTCACCTGCTGCTGCTGATTGGGGGCAGGGTCAGCTGCAGGGCTGGCCAGACAGTGGGTAGCTTGTCTTTTAGGTATTTACTCCACTCTTGGCATGGACCTTGCCAGAACTGCTGTTTGCTGGAGATCTGCTCCCTGGAGTTTGTTGTGCCCTTTCTGGTTAGTCATGGCTATCATGGTTTCATTCTTCTCCTAGGTCTTTATTTAGTGTTTGGGGCTGGCAGTGAGTAAGGGGGGTCATAGCAGGGCTGAGTCCACTGTCTCAATCCAGTTAGTCATTGTGTTTATTTAAAGCCTTCTTCCCTCTGTGGCCCCCCAAGTGTAACTCATTGCACCAGTTACCCTAGTTCCACAGGGCATTTTGTCTCTACCTCTTTCGTAGCATTTATTCCATTGTAACATTCTGAAGAAGTGTCTTATTTGTTCTAGTCTTTGCCTGACTGAGTTAAACTCTGTAGCCCAGACACGCATAGGGGTTAAACTGCCAATGTTTTAACCAGGGTGGAGAACAACTGGTTTAGTAACAAGCAAGTGAAAATGGGGTACAAAAAGTTGACATAGACTGTGCTACGGGATGCAGAAGGCTCCCCTACTAGGTTTTGTGGAGTTCTCTATCTTTTCAAGAATCTATTTGATGCTGAAGGCAAACTTCTCAACTTTGAATAGACATCTTCCAAGGCATTGAGTTATAGTAGTCTGCAGTTAGGTTGACTTCCTAAGGTTAGTCAAGATCTTAGAAATGATCACCTCTGGTCTTCCTGGGAAAAGAGGCTGCTTCTCTTACTAGATTCTAATGATTGAATTGTCATTGGGCTTAAGTATATTCTCTCTGTCTCCTTCCCTTTTTCTGGAGGGCCTCTGTTTAATGAGGAAGGTAATGGTGGAAGAGGTTGGAAGTTACCAGTTAATTAATCAGCTAAAGCACAATACTCTTCACTACTCTTAAAAATTCTTAATTAGGAAAATAGGAAACAATTGCTCCTTTTATACATCTGACAATAACTGAACTTACTCAAACACTGGCCTCTATATAGTAATGGTTAAGCTCTTAAAAGATTATTTGATAATGTCTGGAGTTACTGATACGAGTTTTTGCTGTTGTATCCCATCACATTTCAGATGATTGGAATTGACAAAAAGATATCAAAATACCAAGAATATATTGAAGCTTATACCAAGAATTGTCAAAGATGCATCAAGATAAGATAATAAGTAGTATTTTTATTCAGATTATAATGGGTCCTGTTTTAGTTCTGTGGTCCCCCACCTTAGGCTTTAGGCTTTTCCCTCTGTAATTTCTTTCTTTTTTTTTTGAGCATCTCACAGGCGTGTTTATTCATGCCACAAAGGGAGCAGCACTTCTGCCTGTGCATGGCAGCCACCCATGCCCCCATCTAGCAGCCTGCTGAGATTTTCAGCCAGAATGACATCCCATCTGATGCATTCTCCAAGTAGGTCTGGTTAATGATGGCCATGAGCAGGCGCAGGACTCGAAGCTTTCAGAGCTTTGCTTCTTTTATCAGCACTCCTGATTTTATAGATGATGAAGCTCATCAAACCCATTCCTACCCAATCTCCTCGTAAATCTGGGTATAGTAAGGCTTCATGGGGATCCAAACATTTTTAATAAGGCTTTGAAGCATTGTGGTGACTGACCAACAGCTCAAGAAGCCTCCAGCCCACACAGCCAATGACTTGGGAAGGTCACCAAGTGTGCAGGCATCGCATGGGGCCTCCTCTGTAATTTCTTAATCAGCTAGGCCACATCCTTAACCCCCCACTGAAAAATGCTTAAGTTTATGTTGAATATAGATGTATAGGGAGAGCATCCAAATGCCCAGAGTGTAGGGCCCTTATGGAGACTAGTGAGGAATGAGATTGTTCAGATGGGCCATGAAGGTTCTTTTATAAACTTCCTCTTCCATCTTACATTGTTTCTTTGTGAAATGTCTTGGAGATAAGGAGAAGCCATTGAAGGACATTAAGCAGGGGGTGACATGGGATTTATGTTGTAAGCTCTCTCTGACAGGCCTGGGGAAGATACATTGGAATGAAATGTAATAAAAGACAGAGAGACCAGTTAGGAGGCCATTACTATGCTGGGCAAGACACCATGGGCAGAGTCAGTAGCAGTTGGTAGATAGGTAGGGAGAGATCAGAGCAAGATTAAGGTACAGAATCTGGAAGACTGAAGTTGCTGATCGGATGTGAGGGCAAGAAGAGTTAGAAGTTAAGTGCACATTGATTCTTGCAGGTCTGTGGTAAAATATTACAGTCCCCAAAAGGCATTGAGTTTAAGTACCTTTTCTGTTCCAGGAAGGAAAATGTACCTATAAAAGAAGAGCAGTTGTACCAACAGTTGATCAGATTACAGACCTTTTTTAAATCTTAGGAGCAAAAAGGTTGAACTTTTTGATCATCCTGTTTCTTCTGGTTTCTGAATCTGACCCTATGTTCTACATCCATATTTTTCTAACCCTCAAGTATTGTTCACAAGTCTTACATTCAGTGAAGCTGTTTGATTTTTCCCATCTCTCATAATAAATACACACTTTTTCTAACCCTCAAGTATTGTTCACAAGTCTTACATTCAGTGAAGCTGTTTGATTTTTCCCATCTCTCATAATAAATACACACTGATAATGTTTAGGACTAATTGTATGCCGTTTAATTTCAGATTGTGATAATCACTACTGCTATTTTTATTTTCATTCTCTTTTCCCCAGGCATAGTCAGCTAGATATTCAACAGAATTATGCCCTTTGGGGTGATTTTCAATTTTCTCAGTTTGGGAGGCATATTTTTTGTGTCAGTCATGAAGGGTTCAGATTTGGATTATTAAATACTCAAGCCTCTAGTTTCCACTTTGGACCATTTCACACTTTACATTTCTTTGTAGATGGAAAGCTTAGCCCATCTGTGTGCTATTTTCAAGACCTCATCTTATTTAGGAGAGGATGTGCCTGTTCTTCTAAACCCATTTCTCTCTCTTGATGCTCAGAAAGGCCTGCTGTGCAGGAGGTAAAAGGAGAAGTAGTTTCAGCATTCATGGGTGATTTACAAGAGCAGCCTTAGGCCTTTTTCTCAGCTCTGTGCCTGGAGAAACATGTGTAAAAGGGTTTGGCTTCCCAAACCACAAGAAATCTTTCAACACATGTTTGGTAGTATGTGACCATAGTGGTATATTTCCTTGAAAAGTATGCAGCTCACATTGCCACAGCCCCTCTTATTCCTAGGGTCCCTGGAGGGTCAGGAATTGTTGATGAAATTGGTTTTCTTCATCTGTAATGGATATTTTTCTGTAAAGTGTGGAATTGTCTGAGTTACAGGGTTTGAACTGATGCTCTTTTTTTGTTTTAATCCTCCAGAAATGCATCTTCTGCAGACACCGAGTTAAGAAGGTCTCTGGAGCCTGCATCCAGTGTTCCTATGGCCGCTGCCCAGCCTCCTTCCATGTCACGTGTGCTCATGCTGCCGGCGTGCTGATGGAGCCTGATGATTGGCCCTACGTGGTGAACATAACATGCTTTCGGCATAAGGCCAACCCAAATGTGGTAAGGCCTGTTCTTCCTTCTCTGATGCCAGAGCTGCATGAATTCCTTTCTGTATATCTCCCATGGCTAGCATGCTCTACTTTGTAGTGTTACTCATTGTTGACATGTGTAGAATGTGAGTTTTTTGAGGGCACGGGTTATACATTATTATTTACTGCTACTTGCCCAGGACCCATCAGTATCTGGTGTGTGCTGTGCATAATAAGTATTTATTGAGTTGAATGAGTGAATAAAGAGATGATTGAATAAAAATCTTTATGCCTGTTCTGGTTTGGGACCTATATACGGGGCTGCTGAGTATGGTGGCACAGATTATGTGCTTCATATATCCAGGATGAGGAGGAGACCATTTCTGGGAAAGGAGAGATGTGAAAGCTCCACCTGAGATCATGTACTGTTTAATCCATGCACCTGTACACTCTGGCCTTAGAGTTTTACTTCGTGTCTTCTAGAAACAAAGAGCAGTAACACAGTAGATGAAGAGGGAGAGGGAGGGTAGTCACAAATACCTGGGGCCTTGCTGCGTGAGATGGGTAAGCTAGGGGCAGCATGGAGGAGTGAGGACAATCTCAGAAAAGCAGAAATGTAGAGGAAAGGAAAAGAGATCAGTTTTTTCCTGCCTTTTGCATTTTATTCAGAACTGAACCTATTTCTGGGAACTGTGCAACTATAGTATGTAAATTAACTTTAATTCAGTTTACCTGTCCTTGGTGAATGGAATCTTTCCTCTGTTTGAAATGCTTCAAAAATTATGACACTGTAGAGATTGTTGGTACACCTAAGCTTGCCAGTTCACTGTAATTGTTTTTGGCTGACAAAGAGGAGGCTAAAGCCCCAGCTTGGCCAGCTTGCTGCCCTTTGCTGTCCATGGGGGACTTGGCCACAGACTGTTTGCAGCCTAACATGCTTGTCCTATGTCTCTAAATAACCTCATGTGAGCAGCCTGCCAAGTCGTCAAGGGTTTGAGGAGCCGTGACTCATACATAACAGATCTCTTAGCTTTTTAATGATTCCAGCAACTTCTGTTGGTGTCTTGAGAGATACTTATGTTTGTGGATTGGGATTTTGCGTGGATGTGTGAGAATGTGCAAATGTGCAGAATGACATCACTGACTGCCACATCTATTTTAGTTATTTTCCATTGTTTTAGGTCACAAGTTGTATATTCATTTCTGCTTTTTCCTTATTGAATTGATGGGCTCTTACTAAGAATAGTAGTATGTATTCAGCAGAAAATATATTTTAGCAACTTAAAAAAACACAGTAATAGCACAGTGTTGCTATGGTGCTGTGCAGTCCCTAGCGTCACCTCATTCGATGGCCTTTTGAGTTGTGAACCAGGTCCTGACCTTGGAGCCAGAGGAGTGTGTGTTCACACTTGGTTCCTGCCAGTGGCAAATGATGACTTTGTGTAGGCTATCTCTGAGTCTCAGTGTCCTTGTCTGCAACCAGTAGCACGCCTATCTGCCCAGGTTGTTTTGGTCCACAGCACACAGCCAGCCCACAGAAAGTGAGGCTGTATTACTCTGTTCTCATACTATGTCTTCTGCTGCTGGCTTCAATGCCACAGTCCTGGGCTGCATGAGTAGTAGCACCCCTGCTTCAGAGATGAGACACCTAAATTCATAGAGTTCAGTTGTTGCGCAGTAGATTAATGAGTGACAGGTGCTGGTATGTGAATGTCTTTTCAGCCCATATTCCATTATTTGTTGAATTTCAAACCCCAGTGATGCTTGGTGCTCAAGGTGTTCTGCTAAAGCTTTGCTTGGGATCATACATTCCCATTTGAATATCCTAAAGATATATGGTTACTGATGATTATATTGAAATTGCTATTTCAGAGATCCAGGTGTTTAATCGGGACCCCATTCCCATAACAGTGATGGGCGGTTCAGTCAACTTTGTTACTAATGTGTTTCATAAATGATGATGAAAAAGAAAACCACTGACTTTGAGGTGATTTAGAAACTACTCTCCCCTACGGATCCACTTTAAGTTTGGTATGCTTTGTAAACGGTGAGGAAAACATCATATAATTCATATTACATGGGGCAGTTTTTCCTTATGAAGGAAAATTTTTAGTGTTTGTAAATTGCCTTTGCAAAGTTCTCTGGGAAGAAGCACTGTGAACACTGGATTTCAAATCTATATTGCTGGTAGCTATTATTTATTTGTCATTTCTCAGATTCCAAGTTTGGATTCTCTCCACCCTCTAAAATGTTTGGCAGCTAGCCAGAAGGAATTCATAGAATCTGGCAACTTTGGTTAATAGTATTGTGTTTGCCCCTATTGCATTAAATATTCTTTCCTTTTCAAAGCATATAGTTTAAATTCGCTCAAGCATTTCTCTTTGTGTAAACTCTGGATGCTTAGGGATATGCTCCCAAGAGCTGGAACTGTAGTTTGTGTTTTCAGCCATGCCTTGATTATTTGGGAGTAACGGGCAATTGCTGAATCATAGCAGTGAAAACTATGAAATAAAGTTCAGGCTAACTTGGCAGCCTAGCACAGTTGTTTTACAGAACAGAGGATGCCTGTACAACTTACGTGAAATCAAGTATAAAGCTAACAGTTGCTCAGTAGATTCTTCATTTTTACTCTCTTCAGGGTTTTTGTTTCCTTCATTATTAGTTTTTTATTTCTCCAAGTTATTTGCTTTTTGCAACCACAAGGACCATTTAAGGCAAATTCTACTCCTCCTTTAATGCCATAAATTATCTTAAATATACTAGCTTATTCAGTGTTACTGAGCTTTGGGCCTAAAATCATTCTGGATAATGATATAAAAATTCATCTGATGTATTAAAATGCATAATTCCATTAGATAGTAAGCACACTTTGAATTACAAAGGTAGTATTTGAAAAATAGGTAGCTTTCAAATTCTTAAAGATAGAAAGGTGTATGTAACATAGTGCACAGCTAATCCCTATTATTATAATCTAAATTTAAGTATTTTTTTTAGTGTTTTGTCATACGCACTTTTTGACTGGCACCTGCTGTCCGTCAAAACTTAAAGTTTCATCTGCATGTGCATGTGTGTGTGCACATATGTATTTATGTGTGCAGTGTTGTGGTATTTGACCACTCTTCACCATGATCCAGTGTGACCTGTTTTCTGGCTGTGTTCCACTGGATGTATTTCTAACCCACTTATGTGGATACTGCACAGATGTGTGTAAGGAAAAGACAAAGAACACAATGAATAGTAAAATGTTTTTTAAACTGGGAGTCTTGAAAACATATTCCTTCTCCAAAGCAAACAATGAACTGCTCATAAATTATGCAGTGCCTGCAAAGTTCAGCCACCAGAGGGGCCATCTCCTCACATCTGGGTAAACTAGACAGGTATCCAGTGGAAGAGACACCTCAGTGATGGAGGGTAGTCGAGGTGAGAAAGATGGCAAGCACAGATTTTTTTTGAAACAAATTACTTCACTAAACCTTCATGTTAGATTAGAATAGTACATATGTGCAGTTTAGGAGCACAGAATCACTTGCACTTTATGGAATGATTCATTGCTGTGAACAAGGCCTCTTTAATACAGTATCTTATATGAGGTATATAATTTCTATCATAATACCCTCACTTCTCAAAAAATAGGACATTTGGGAAATTTGTTTTCTTTGTAGCTTTGTAGGTTGTGGCTATTAACATGGGAACAGACATCTATTCAAAAAAGAGGAAGAACTATAGAGAAAAAAGCAACCTTTGTTATCAGTTTTTTTCCTTGCTATTTTTGTGTGTTTTTTTCCTTCAATATGATCTTAATTAGATCATATTTAAGTAGATCATTCCTTTAACTGGATTATTTAACTAGATTTAACCAGTATTTTGTCTATTTAACTAGCACTTGGCCATCCATAGAAACTACTTGGTATAAATCTGTTGAAATAATTCTCTAATTCTAGGGAACAGGATTAGTGGAGAAGCAAGATAACTAGTATTTATGCAGCATCTTTTGTGCAAGTGTTAGATATTTTACATGCACACCTTATTTCAAAGCAGTGTTGTTAGTGTGGATAATGGAAAGCAGTGGTTCTCTTGGCTCTGATATTGGCACCTCCCACTGGGAAGGGTTCTCTTGCCTTTTGTTATTCTGTCCTTCTAGCCATCCTTCATGTTCTGTCCTGGCACTCCTCTTTGTAGTAGCACTTGAGTTCTTGCTCAGCACTTACTGACTTCTTTCTCCCAGTCTGTGTCTGTAGGCTGGCTCCTATACAGCCTCTTCTGTGCCATTACTGTGGATGGCTCAGGACAGAGAGGACACCTGTGTCACACAGGATCTGATGAAGGGCTTAGAGCAAGGCAGCTCTTCTGGCTAATCTGTGCTTATATGCCTAACCTTTGGGGTACTAAAAGGGTGGGGATCCTTTCATCACTAACTTAATACAACGTTTCCTTGGTATGCAAAAGTAGCTTTCATTTCATCCTGTGGAACAATGGCTGATCAAGCTCCCTAAATTCTAAACCCTAGAATAGTTCTCATCACAGGAAAATGCTGTGTAGCATATTATACTTTCAGTATAAGTTATTGAGAAAACACATAATGGCAAAAAATTAAGAAATCACTAACATTATCATTTGAATTCATTAATTATAAAAAGGGTCTGCAGTGTTTCAGGTTGAGTATGGGTTGGTCGGGAGAGACCCAAAACACTCAGTCCCACTGTAACTTGCCACTTAATTAGATGAGGATATAGAAATGTAGCAGAAATGGATTGATCAGACAAAGGGAAGGTGAATGCAAGCTATTATAACCAGACTTCCCCTGCACCCTGTTTCCCTGTTGAGCATGTGTGGCTGTGTGGAAAGTGTTGCCACATCTGAAAAAAAAGACCGATGTTTGCTGTTCTATGGCTTTTATACTTGGGATTCATTCAGGAAAACTGAGGCTTTTCACTTGATAAAATGTTTATAAGCATGAAGCTGCCTAGTTCTTAAACTAGAATCAAGGTCAACAAGACCACATGCTCTACTAGGGGAAGAAAGTAGACTCAGTTCCCAGATGGGTAGCTGAGCAATATCTCCTTCCAGCTTTCTAGAATTCTACAAACCTGTTTTCCCAGAGTCTACCCCTGACT